AATGAAGCCAAAGCTGCTACCGAGCAGTAAGCCTCGGGTATTTTTTACTCTCCAATTAAAAAAAAAAAAAGAAGGAGAAAGAAAAAGAGAAACTATGCCCTGTTAAACTCTGTCACGTGTCCAGGGGACGCCTGTGGCTGGAGAGTCCGACCGACCCTCAGTAGACGTGTGCTCACTGCTAGGACCCGGCCAAGGGTGAGGGGGTGTGATTTCTGGCTGCCTCCTCCCTCGGCTCCTGGCAGGAGCCCCGGCCCTGGTCAGGACTGCCAGACCCCTGTGTGTCAGAGCCTGTCCAGTCACAGCTGCCCCATCTGTGGGTCCCATGCTAAGAAGGCCACTGCACCTGCTCCGGCCTAAGAGTCCACTCCATGTAACTGTCTGGCTCCTGCAATATAGCTGACGGGCCAGCAGGCTGTGTTGGGCCTCACAGCCAGCCTGGGGCAGGAGAGGAAGGCCACTGCCCTTGGGGTGGCCAGCCTTCCTTGCATCTGGCCTTCCTTGCACTCAGCTGATGGGCCATGGAGCCTGGCCTGGGTGGGCCCTGTGCCTGGGCCATGGAGGCTGGCCTGGGTGGGCCCTGTGCCTGGGCCATGGAGGCTGCCTGGGTGGGCTCATGAACCCTGTAGCTTGGCCTCCTGGTGCCCACCCCAGGTGGCAGCAGCGTCCCTGTGCCTACTCCTTCTAGGGAACCAGGGCTAACAGAGGCTCATGGACAGGCAGGAAGCCCTCAGCTACCCCACTTTCTGGTCATATTTGTGACCTGTGTCCCATCTCTACTTTCAAGTGACTCATTTATAAAAAGGGGTGATGATGGTGTCCTATGAGGGGCAGCTGGGGCAGCCGTAGTGACCTCAGAGCTCTGCACCAGCTGTGCCTCTGTTGCTTGGGAGATTGAGGGACATGGAGGTATGTGGTGGAGTTCTACTGCCGAATGGCATCCAGTGGTGGCCAGAGTATGGTCACAGCTGCTGGTCGGGGTGGCCGGGCAGGACCAGAGCCAGCTCCTGGGACTCGGAATCCAGTGCTCCTCCCAGCAGCAGAACATGGCAGAACTTGGACTCGCCTGCTGTTCTCCAGTGATCAGGAGCACCCCACCTCACCCTGTCCCCGTGTCTCCCCGGCCCCCAGGGTCCCTGTCTTCCTGCCAGCCTCTGTGCATGCTGCCTGGGCAGGCTGGAGCTCCCGTGGCCTCTGCCCCAGCAGGCTGGAGTTGGCACCAGGCAGCTCAGACGCAGCCATGGCAGACACGCAGGGACACACCCCCAGCTCCACTCACAGGAAAACATTCATTATGTGCTTTAGAGGACAAGGGTAAAAAGAAAACACTCATTAGAAGCAGAAATAGTTTCCAAATAAACTACAGAATCTGTTGGGAAGTCTGGCCTGAGAAGGGGGCCTGTGTTCAGGGTGGGGGACCGTCAGGCGGAGAGTGTTCAGAGGTGGGTGGTGGACGGCAGGGAGCTGAGGCGCTGACGCCTGTTCCCATCGCCACCAGAAGACCCCAAATCGGAGGGGCCGGCAGCAGCGGGCGGAGGCGGAGGGCCCTCTGACTGTCTGGCCTGCCTCTGGGCACTGCCTCGCCCAGCAAGCGCATGTCCCCGCGGCTCCAGTGACAGTCCTGTAGTCAGTGGGAGCAGAGGCCAGGGCTGTCTAAGGCTGGATCCCTGCCTGACTGCTGACCACGGGGTGACCCTGAGCCTGGCCATGCTCCCTCTGGGCTCAGCGGACCCAGAGACCCTCCTGCCTGTGACAGGAGGAGACCCCAGGGAGGCTGATGGTCTGAGCAAAGGCGATTTGTGCCCCCTGCCTGCGGGGCAGTCCCCGGTCAGCAGGGGCCATGTTGGGTGCTCAAGCCCTGGCTAGCTGGAGAAGTGGAGTGAACCAAGCTCGGGTCTTCTGGGCCCAGAGTGACCTGGGGCCCAAGACACCACCCAGGACAGGGGCAGCCCACCTTCCAGCACCTCTGAGCTGGCTGGTGGCCTCGCATGTTCCCACCAGTCACAGCAAGCACTGTGTTCACCCGTGGGCCAAAAGGGCTTGGGTGCCCTTTCCGGGGGGCTGCCTGCTCGCTCTCACCTTCCTCCTCACAGGATGCTTACTAGCCACGAAGACAGGGGAGCGGAAGGGACAAACCCCCTCGGAGACAGACACAGACAGACTGCGGAGGCAGCGCCTCCCACAGCTCAGAGATGCTCGCGCCTCGCCAAGCAGCTCAGGTCTGCACCCCGCTGCGTGCTGGCCCCGACTCTGTGCTCCTGGCCCCAGTCCCCATGGCCCGCGCCTTCCTTGTCCTGGGGTGGGGGCAGCAGCTGCAGCAGAGCCATGCCTCCTGTCCTGTGGCTCATGCTCTGTGCAGGACACTAGGGGGACAGATCAGTCCAGGCAGAGAGAACCCAGGCAGTGTGGGTAGAAGCCCTGCTGTGCTAAGTGGCCCTGGGGTGGCACCCACTGGGGGGTGTCGGAGGACAGAAGGAGCTCACGGCCAGTGAGCTTCAGAGGCCAGTGGGGGCTGCTCCTCAAGGCACCCTCCTTTCTCAGAGGCAGCCCCACGAGCTCTCTAGAAGGTTGCCTGGTGCCGGCCAGCTGGCTCAGCAGGTGGTGGGCTGCGAGGGGTGAGGTCCACTCAGGCCCTGCCCAGCACCTTCTCGGTGTCCTGAGTGGCCTCCTCAGCTCCCCCTGGGGGCACTCCCCTGACACCTTTGCTCCCACTCACTCTTCTGGTAATTGGTGTCAGGGGCAAACTTGAGCTAGTTTCCACCTGGGCCGTGTCTCCTGCTTGTTTCCTATTTAATATCAGAGAAATGACACCTGACCAGGCTGTCATCACCATGGAGTAGCCACGAGCACCAGAACCAATCGCCCCGAGCAGTCACGGTGGCTCCTGGCTCTGGAGCAGGACAGGACGCTCATTGCTTTGGCTGAAGCTCCTTGACCTCCAAGTGCCACCTAGGCTGCCGGGGCACCTCACGCCTGAGCCCATTCCCTCCTTTTACCTGATCACAGAAACAGTGATGCTTGAGGACAGGAGCGGGAGGAGACACCCCCAGAGTGGGGAGGGGAAGCAGAGGCCCTGCAAGAGCCACCGAGGAATCTGACCTGTGACACTGGCCCTGGGGGACTCCAGCTTCCCACTGGCTGGAAGGTGACCAGCAGGTGCATGTGAACTGTGCCAGGTGGCACCGTCCAAAGCCAGAGGATGGAGGCAGGAGGGAGGGAGCGCAGGGGCGGGCGGCAGGTGCCCTCCTGGCCTGGGCATCGAGAGGAGTGAGGGAAGTGTGGACTCGCCCCTCGCCCTCCCAGCGGAGCCTACTCCAGGAAAGCAGACTTAGTGGAATTAAAAAGGCACAAGAGTGGGACGGGATGAGGGTGGCAGGTGGAGGCAGGCGCGGGGGAGGCCTGGAGGAGAGGGTGGTCCTCGGGGCAGGTGCCGGGCTGTGGCAGGGAGCATGAAGAAGGCAGGCAGTGCAAAAGAAGTGTTCAGAGCAGGGCACGAGGTGGAGGGGCAAGAAGATGGAGGGGCAGACCCKGGCTGGGGGCCGGCAAGGCGTTCCCCAGGCTGAAGGCTGCGTGGAGTAAATGTTGCTTCCAAAAGCCAGAATCTGAGCGCGGAGTCACAGGGGCCGGCCCTGACATCTCCAGGTCTGCTCCCAGGTGGGGTCCTGCAGGCCACCCCCTCTCAGGAGAGGAGGGGCGCCCTCTGCCCCATGGTGAAACGCCTTCGGGCCAGTGTCTGCCAACAGGACACCAGAGCAAACCCTGGGGCTGCGCTGAGGTCCTCTCACAAGCTCTGTCACTCATGAACCCCCGCACTCTGATGTCAACCGCCACAGGTTGACGGCCAGGGCAACTGACAACAGGCACAGGGACCAGAAACAGCGTCTTGCCGTCAGCACGTCCCCATCATCTCGGCATCATTCTTAATGAACTTGCTGAACCACAGACAATTATTTCTGGGAACCGAGGGAGAAAGGAAAGGGCTTGGAGGCTGGGGCTGGGTGGAGCCATGGACGGAAGGTTTGACCAGACTGAGTGATGGCCTCCTCTTCCAGATGGCCCCGGGCCTCATGGACCCTGCCCAGGACCCGTGGCCTCTCTGCTCTGCCACACAGGCCGTCTCTCTGCACACCTGACCTGGAGCTGGGGCCAAGTCCCCGCTGCCAGTTCCCTCCCAAGCACACCTCTCGGTCGGAGGGATCCCCAAACCACCCAGGGCCAGAGTTCTGCTTGAACACCAGTGGGCACGGAAGGCAGGACGGGGGCAGGAAAGGCCTCCAGTGGCATCTTGGGTAGAGGCAGCAGGAAGGCCTGAGGGGGCGGTGCCCGGCCAAGGGATGTGTGTACAAAGGGCAGCTGCAAACCAGTGGACTGTCTTTGCAAGGAGGTCCAGCTTGACCAGAAGGCTCCCTCGCCTTCCCACCCACACAGCAGCACCTGGTACCTGGCAAGATGACCACCCATTGGAAAAAGGCTGGCCGGGCCGCCCTCCCTGGCTCAGCAACACTGTGCACAAGGAACGCAGGTGGGGGCCTCCTCCACAGGCATGGCAGCCTCCCGCCACCCGCCGTGCCAGACATCACAAATGGGTTACGGAGCTCCTGCCCAAGTCGTGCCCATCAATCCAACTGCTTGCCACATGCGTCTCATGACCAACCCACAGACCACAAGAACATGCAGTTCTCGGCCGACCTGTTTACAGTCAGGGGCAGGGTGCCACCTCCTTCCTTGTCCTCCTCACAGGAAACCGAGACACCCTGGAACCTCAAGTCACCTAGCCCATTTCCCACTGGGTGGCGAGGGCCAACCTGCCTCCACCTCTCCCCTCCTGGCTCCTGACAGCCAGCCGGCCACCGGCTGGCCTCAGCACCACACAGCCGCAAGCCAGGAAGGCTCCCCAGGGCTCTCAGCCCCAGGCAGCCCCGCGCAGGAGCCCCACGCCCCCTCAGCGCCCTCCGCAGACCCTTCCCGAGGTGACGCAAGAAGAATCCAGTCCAGCCACCTACCTGAAGGAGCCAGTAGCACCTCCGGTGGAAGGTGGGGATGATGGAGGAATGGACATAGCAGCCGTACAAGCACTAGGGAGAGAGGAAAAACGAGAGTTCAGTTGGAAAGAGGGAAGGAGGGAGGAAGGCAGACGGCGCAGCAGAGGAGGAGCAGGGGGCCGCGGCCCTGCTGCAAGCGGGAGGAGGTGGCCACACGGGCCCAGCTAACTGGGGGCAGGGACAGCTAGGAAGCCTATGGATCACGCCAGCAGGCCACGCAGAGGGCAGCTGGCACCCTACCCTCGGGCCTGGGGGTTTCTGATAGTTCAGGACAGCCAGGGACCAGGGAAATGCACATAGGCACGCTCCAGGGACTTGGAGCTACTGGGATGCCCATTCCTAGCGCCAAGGCTAAGACCCTTCTGCACACCAGGAAGGACCCAAGGCGGCGGAATTGATTCACACACAGGAAACACGCCTCCCGCCAGCTTCTCACCAGGCAGCCCCGGTGGAGAGAGGGCCGGGGAGCACCAAGGCTGCACCTCCAGAGCCGAGGCCCCTTTACACAGCCCCCTTTCTATTTTTGGGTGTTCGTTTATTCATGTATTGGCTTGTTTGCTTTTTTAGGTATAACCCCACATCTACCGCACGCGGGTTTGGTTTGGGAAGAAGACAGGTCAGAGAGCAAGGTGGGTGGAATAGAGGTGTGAGAGTTGTGAAGAGGGACAGTTCCCAGGCGTCACCCAGGCCCAGGGAGGTGGCGTTGACTCGTGGGTGGCCTGTACCGTAGCCCTGCTTCTGGGGGCTGCCTGTGCACCCAGGGCTGGGCACCGGGGGCAGGCTTGCTGGTGAGGCAGAGAGGGGCCCTCTCAAAATCCAACTGGCAAATCTGTGTGGGAAGGAGGGGCCTCACTGTGGGCGGCTCATCGGGCACCTGGGGATGGGGGCCCACCTCTGAGCCAGCGCTGAGAGGTTTCCTTTGGAGCCACCAAATCAAAATTGAATGATCTCCCGATCCTCGGCTTCAGGGTTCCCTGGCTCCCCGCGGCACCCACTCGGGGAGGGGTGAGGTCACAAAGAAGGAAGGGCCGGGATGGGCCTGAGGACCCTGGGGGGGGGGGGAGGCCTCTGTCCCTGTCTCCTTGCTCAGTTCATGTCACGGCAGCCCCCACGCCCTGACACCAGCTCTCCAGGGAGGAACGGCCACCAGCTCCGCAGCTGAAGGTTTCATCAGATATCATTTACACCCCCAAAGAGACCAAGTGCCATTTGGCTGTCTCGGAGTCCGTTTGAGCCCTGCCTGTCTGATTAGCGGAGCTGAAAGAGAAATCATTTTGGACTCTGGGATTCTGGCTGTAAGAAAATCAGATTTCCAATATGTTAGGACTTTTACAGAGCGCCGTCAGCTGGGATTTACGCCCTGTACAAACCAAACAAACAAAGCGGAAATTAATTTAAACGATTCCCTTGCAATTCTTGCCCAAGAAATGTATTTATTATTAAGAAGGCAATATTCTTCCCCGACTGCTCTGGTTTGCAAGGCACTGCGCTTTGTTTTTGTGCTTTTGATAACTCACTCCTTCTGGGCAAAGAGGCGACTGTCTGGACACTTTCTGGAGGAGCCTGGCTGCAGGGGCTGAGCGGCCTGTGACCTCGGCCAGCTGCTTCCCAGGGGCAGTTTCTTCACCTGACCCCAAGGGGAGGGACATGAAGTGTTGGGAGAAGTTTCTCCTGTCGATGGAAATCAAAGTCCTCTCTGCTCCTCCCACTTAGACTGGAAGCAAACATGGCTGCTTTTCATGGTCTCCCCAGTCTCTGCCTCCCCGTCTGGATCGAGCTTCAGCCTCACTCACACTCAGCGGTCAGAGAGAATTTACCAATGCCTGCCCTGCCCAGTCTGCGAAAGTGCAGGACAAGAGGAAGGCGGGCCTGTCCTCCCGGAGCTTGCCAGCACCTCCCTGGCCCACCTAGAACTGTCCAGGACCATCCAATAAGCAAGAGGAAGGTGGAAAGAAAAAAGGCCGTGTCTGCATCCAGGCTCCTGCATGTTAATCAGAGCAGCCCTCGGCCTCGCTCAGAACCTCCAGACTCTATTTTTAGATGTTGCTCTGTTCCTCTAACCACTGCGGGGATCTGGGGTCTCTGGTCTCATCAGATGAGAGGCGCCGTGTTCAGAGGGGGGAGAGGGAAGTGGCTGAGCGCAGCCGACAGCTTGGTGTGCACCGTGGGCATCCCTAGGCCACGGCTAAGAAGTCCCTGGGCTTCGGCCTCGCTCCCGTGGCCTCGCCCAGCACTTAGGTCGCCCTGTGGTTGCTTTACTGTCTTTCCTCCTGCCTGGGGGTCCTGGGGTGGGGACCCTTGGACTTCCTGGGAGAGGACAGACAGCACCTCTCCCTCCTGGCACCCCAGGACACAAGGTGGAGACCGCCGGGTGTGGGAAAGGACCCTGCGGAGGAAGCGCTGAAGTCTGCTGTGGCACCCTGCAAGCCGAGGACTTCCGACCCGCACTAGAAAACGACCCTGAAACACGGCTCCGTGTTCCCCCGGGGAGGGCTGAGCCTCACGGCAAGGCTGGCTCCCACTACTGGCCTGCTGTCCTGGTGCGGAAAGAGGCTCATGGAACCGGCTCCCGTGGGCTGGAGTCACCCGGGGGCTCATGGGGTGGGGTTGGTAAGGGTGCTGCCTGGTCCCCCACTTGCCAGCTCAGAGGCCCCTCGTCCTCCGGGCTGCCCTTCCGGGTGCCGTTCTGATCATTTCTCTTGCTCTCCCTCTCTCTTTGGGACCAGGATTGAACCCAGGGGCGCTTAACCGCTTAACCACTGAGCACATCCCAGCCCTTTTCATGTGTTGAGGCAGGTCTCACTGAGTTGCTTAGGACCTTGCTGAGGCTGGCCTTGACCTTGTGATCCTTCTGTCTCAGCCTCCCAAGATGCTGGGGTTACAGGTGTGCGCCATCGTGCCCAGCTCTGATCACTTCTCTTAGGGTGACCGTGAAGGTTGAAGGCTGATGTGGCAGTGGGAGGCTCAGGACAGTCCCAGACCTGATGCACAAGCAGCCGTGCCAGTGGTCATCCCTGGAACAGGTGTCAGAGGTGGCGAGGCTGTAAGAACGAGCAGGAGCAGGGAAAGAGGATCTCGAGCAGCAGGATTGCTGGTGGTGGAGGCTGGGAGGCAGGACAGTGTGGGCTGGGTTGGAGGAGCCCCGAAATTATGTGGATGATGGAGAATAAAGGACATGTGGGGAGATCAACCAAGTCAGATCACAAAAGACCRTAGCAAGGAGGGGAGGCTTTGCTCTCACCCTGTGTCAGTAAGGAGCAAAGTCATGTCATGGCCACATTTGTGCTTTGGAACCTCACTGTGGCAGAGGACAGGAGCAGAGGAAGGCTGGGGCATGAGGACTGTCTGGAGGAGTTCCTATGAGATGGGAGGCATGCTGGGGATGGGACAGGGGCATTAGCGGCGAGGGTGGAGAGGATCAAACAAATTCACAGGTGCAAGGATGATGTCAGTCTCTGGCGGGGTCGATGGGCATGTGTGGGGACAGGAGCCCTGGGATGCAGGGTTTCTATGTGGCCTCCATGTGGAGGCTAGGCGGGGCCTGGTAGGCAGCGGTGTCTGGGCAGGGCCGGCAGGAGCAGTCGGGGTGGGGTGGGGGTGTGGGGGGCGTCCACTGAGTCTGATTTCTTCTCAGGGGCCTTTGCAGGTGGATAGAGCAGCTGAGTGTGGACTTGCCAACGGTACCGCTTGGCCTGGGGCGTCCTGCCTGCCTGGCTGTGTCCCTGCTCTTCCCCCCTCACCCCCACACTAACCCCAGCCCCCTCCAGGACCCCAGCCTGTCCAGCCTCTCCAGCCTCTCCCTGGCTCTTGGGGACATGGTCCTCACTTTGCAGTCTTCCTATTGGTTTCCAGTCTGTAGGACAATGTCATTACCAAGCCAATTGGGGATTAATTGCATAGTATTTTATGAGGCAGCGTATCAAATCCATTCCCTTACCCACTAATCAAAAAAGCAATCAAGTTGGTCTGTAGTGATTTGTGTTGTACAAACTCCCGGCGCTTTTTGATCAGGCCCTGGGGGCTCCCTGGGTGAGCTTTCCATTTGGAGGCCGTGATGCGGCTGCAGGGAGAGCCACATCCTGGGGCCCTACTGCGTGTGTGAGTGTGCAGCGCGTAAGCACAGGCGGTGGGGGTGTGGGCGGGCATGCGTGGGCTTCCTGCTTATGTGCACACAGAGGAAGAAGAGGAAGGAGCTATGTATCCACAGGCAACCCAGAGAACGTCCCCCTTCAGACAGAGACTCCTTCCGAGGAGGCATGTTGGGGGAGTTGAGGCCCAACAGCCTCCCTCTGGCCTGGCAGAGCAGGGAAGATTGTTCCCTTAGATACTCAAAGTCGCTTTAGGACACCATGGTCACGCATCAGTGTCCAAAAAAATAAAAGAAGGAGAGATGACATTACAGGGGAAACCAGCACAAGCAAGGTCCTTCTGCCCTCCTGAGCTAGCAATGGCCCGGGAGGGAAGTCCCCCCACCCTCCTCCAGAGGGGTTCTCCTCCAGACTCACCCACCAGCACGGGCCCGTGTGCCATGGGGGGCCATCCAGGCTCCCCCGATGGCCACTGTGTGAGTGGGGATGTGACCGACTTCCCAACCTGGGTTCCCTCACTCTCGCTCTGTTTCCCATGCCTCTGTCTGTCTCCCATGCCTCTGTCTGTCTGTCTCCCATGCCTCTGTCTATCTGTCTCCCATGCACACACCCTCCAGCTCTTTCTTCCACTTCCAGCACCCACCACACCGAGGACTTGGCCCCTACTGAAGGCCCTGAGCGCTGGAGGAACAGGTGGAGTCCAGATGATTCTGCTGGACACCAGCTCACCCACTTACGCCCCCTTGGGTCTTCCCCAGTGGACACTGACGCGTGGCTCTGGGCAGGCTGGGTGCATCCTTCATCCAAACCTGTCCTCGCCTGGGGATGGCTTCTAGTCTAGCTCAGGTCCCCCAGAGCCTCTCCAGCCCCAGCTGCCTGGGCAGAGTCCCTGGAGATGGCCCTTTGGAGCTCACATGAGCTGCCCCGCTCACGGGGCTCCTGGGC